TGAGTTACCCTAGCTGGCCCTCTGTGAATTTATAGCTGGACCACCAATCAGCTTCTATCTTCACCTCGCAGAGACGGCTAAAGGAGCTTCTTTCATTTAACCCTTCACATTCCAACAGAAACTGAACAGGCAGATTCGAAGGATTTATGTCTTTGGAAATTTTATTTGAAATATAATTAAATCAAGTTATTTTGGTAAAACTAATGAAAAATATAACACTTTTTTTTTTTTTTATATATATATATATATATATATATATTTTTTTTTAATGTTTTCAAATATTATTTTTTAGAATATCTTAGGCCCTCAGAGAGAGCGGCTCGCCACTGCTTATTTCTTTGTGGCTCATACATCCATCCCAACCTCGATAAATATGAGTGTGATCCTCTTTTTGAAAAACTCCCAGTTGGTCGATTATGCATATGAAGAACTGTGAAATTAGCCCCTTTTGTTTGGTTCTTGCATTTCTCTTTAAACGTGTGAATTGGCTCCATTATACAAAAAGAAAAAAAGAAAAATCGGGCTAATCCTTACATCCCTCTCTGCCTGCCTCCACCCGTCCTCGCTTTCGCTGGATTTCCTCTGTTTTTCTGTCTTGCTGTGGGGGAAACAAAGGGAACAAAAGAGCGAGAGGAGACAGTAAGCTTCTCATCCACTGTAGTGAGTGCTGGAGTGGGAGCTCTCAATGGAGTGCTGGGCAGACTGGGTGGACTGGTGGTGCTCTGAGAACTAGGCCAGAGGACTGTTGACAGCACCCCAGAGTCCAGAGTCAGGACCAGATGAAACGGAGGATTACTGGAAGAAAAGGGGAAAAAGTTGTCAATATATGGCTCAGGTTTGGGGATAAGGGATTATTATTGGAAAGAGGGAAGGGTCCCTGTACACTGTAGGATTTAAGACTGGGATCAAGTGGAGGGGAAATCACAGTTTGCCTACTCCCATTTAAATAAACATTCAAACATGAATTCGACCAGATTATATTTGAAGGAGGAGTCAGTTCAAGTACCTGTCAATGCAAATAAATTGTCCCAAAATTGCACACTAAATAAAAATGTCCGACTTCCTGTTGGCTTTACAATACATCTGCATGACGCTTTGTTTTTTAGGTATCTGCTCCTACTATGTTGGTGTTCAGGACTTTTTTTTATCACCATACATGTACAAAGCACATTGCAATTCATTATATTTGTACAAGGAGCCGTTGGCAGCTACTATATAGAGTCCTGGGGGTCAAGTGCCTTGCTTAAAGCCACACAGTGCAATAATGCACATGCTTACAGTACAGCAGCAGCACAGGTAAAGCTGCATTTCACCCTTTGTTGTATTAGTCTTTTATGTGCCGGTTTAGCTGCAGCAAAATCTGGACAATCCTTTTTTTAATCGTCCACAGTGCTCAGATTCTGATATGCACTAGTATTTAACTTGATATTGAAAACAAGGGAGGCTAAAAAGGTTTTTATTAGTAACGTCCTCGCAGGGAGGAATCTGGTGTTGTGTGTATACAGTATGCGTCTGTGTGCGTGAGAGGTAATCATGCATGGCCTGCTGACCTTTTTTCTTGACACAGGAAGTGGTGATGTAATAGTACACAATCCCAAAGCTTTTTCTCACACTCTCGGTCTCCCGCATTGTGTCTCTCACACACTGCTGTGTTTGCCCCCCAGCCACCGTGTATTCCCAATTCTACAATCGTGCGAGCGCAGTGGTTATGGTGGCCGTCGTTCAGCTCTCTGGTCGAGACAAACACAGCCATAGACACATTTATGGAGTTTAAAGCAAGGAGGCTGAGGACCTTGTATAACCTTAAAGGCAAAACTGATTTCAGAAGGATTCAGAAAGTAGATATTTCACCTTGGACGGACAGGCCCTGTCTTTGTAATAGTATTACCCAATGTCAGCAAATAGGCCTTTAACCTGTCATCAAAGGAAAATAGAAGTCTCAAATGTACAATATTAGTGTTGTGGTTGCTTTAGTACTGCAATACTTAGGCCCTGTGTCCACGTAGCATAGTTTCTTGCAGGGGGTTGGGGAATTTGGCGCATTGTTCTGTCCCCATAACTCACACTTTGTTGAATGAGCTGCACTGCTCAGTCTGACAGCCGTAGAACAAGCGGGCTGATCCCTGTACGAAAGAAACTGGCTCGCGGGAGCAATGTCGATTGGGCAATGTCTCTCCCCCCCCCCTTCAACTCTGCTTCTATCAATAAAGGCACTCTCTGGCCAAATAAATATCATAAAAAAAGAAAAGAATTGAGCTCTTAAATCTTTGTTATGATCATTTATATCTGAATGTTTCTGCAGTGATGTCACAAGCGCTTTGGTGAAAGGTTGCAAAGTTTATTGCAATTATTTTGACTGATATTGCAATTGATTCACGATATTAGAGGGAATTTACCTACCCTACCTTTAAAGGTAGGGTAGGTAAGTTTGAGAAACCAGCTCGAGATCGCTAGAATTTGAAAATACACAACCGGAGAAAATCTGCCACTTCCTTATAGAGCCCCTCCTCCAACACACACGAACGCAAATGAGGGCACGAGATAAGTTTGTGCACAGATGGAAGGCTGACAGGCAGGTAGGCCATCCAGTTATTTTAGCCGGGCCGGCTAAAATGATTGGTCGTACTTTTTACAGTATTACGGCTTCCACAGATGATATTTTTTTATGGATTTGTTGTCAAAGCACTTCAGATATTCATTGCTATCGGGATGTGAAGAGCATTCCATGGAATATAACAAAAAGTGTCTCTCGAGCCGGTTTCTCAAACTTACCTACCCTACCTTTAAGTCTTTAGAATACTGTTTGTATGCCGGGACTTCTCTGCAGATAATCAGATATTTTCACACATTACTGGGAAAATATTGCACTAGCCCATATTGTGATTTTGATTGAATTGTGATTGGTTGTGCAGCTCTAGTATATATGTAACATGAGTGAGTTTACCAACTGACTAGGTTAACTAGGTGACGGCACCTCACTGCTGCATACTAACACAAGGTGTGTGGGGGAAGACCTGTGTGTAAAGGAAGGGGAATCAATCTCTCACACACACACACACACACACACACACACACACACACACACACACACACACACACACACACACACACACACACACACACACACACACACACACACACACACACGCACACAAACACTCAATCATCACTTGGTCACTTGCCACCAGGCTCTTACTGTATACCCCATGTAAATGGCTGGTACACTAATGAGATGAAAGACTGCTCCTGTGTGTGTGTGTGTGTGTGTGTGTGTGTGTGTGTGTGTGTGTGTGTGTGTGTGGGGGGGGGGGGGGGGGGGGTGGCTGTGGGGGGGGGGGGGGGGGGTATATTTCCGTACCAGGGGGAAATAGGACTGTGATTTCAGACCAAATTAAGCCACATCAAACAGGGCAGATCAAAGCGTGTACAGACCTTACTGCCTGTGGCAGTCTGACATCCCGGCAGGATGCCCCACCCCCCCAGAACTGTCTTCCTTCGCTTTCATTTGTCACTATTCCCTGCACTTCCTTAAGTTTCCTTTTTTCATATCGACAGATTTTCCCGTATCTTACTGTTCCTGTAAGCACACTTCATACTGCTATAAATTCAACCGCCCACCCCCATGCACACAATTTGCAGCTATTTAACAGGGTTATAGGTTAACCTGGATCAAGTGTAATGTAATATATGCTGAGGCTGGGTGTGTTTGATAGAGCAGTCATGCAGTCTACAGGGGGGAGGGTGGGGGAGCAGCATCCATTAGCTTTGAATTGTGTTAGCAATCCTACTCAGAGCCTTTGATGCTGCCTCACGTGTGTGTGTGTGTGTGTGTGTGTGTGTGTGTGTGTGTGTGTGTGTGTGTGTGTGTGTGTGTGTGTGTGTGTGTGTGTGTGTGTGTGTGTGTGTGTGTGTGTGTGTGTGTGTGTTTTGGGCGATGGATTAGACTGCTGTATAAGGAGAGGAGGGGTGGAAGCAGTTTTTGGGTATGAAGAAAGAGGTTGAGAGCAGAGAGCGTGTTTGGGGTGTGTGCTTTGTGGAAAGATAATAAAGGGAATTAAATTAATGACAGAAGCTGACAAGGGTAAAGAGGTGTGTTATTAACCGACAGAGGTACAGGAGAGGAGGGGAACAAAGAGTGAGACCTGGAGACATGTCTGCCTCAGGTTTTTTTTTATTTGGGGATTGTTTTTCCTCATCTAAATGACTACTATATATACACAATAGTTTCATATTAGGGTTAGGGTTGGGGATAGGATCCAGCAAATGTAGGGGGTTCCAATTCCTTTGTACTTTTCCTGATGAATAATAACATTTATTTCGATTTTTTTTCTCAAATTAATTAATTGGGCTTTACATATTATGTCAGAGAAACAATGACGATCACCCAATAAAACCCAACATCACCAAATCCTCACATTTAAGAGAGTGTAATCAGAGAATATTTAAAAGGGACACTTTTATTTCAACATCCCTTAGAGATGTATAGCATTGTTTGTCTGGTATGTTTTTTCTACAAAAATGTTCCACTGCCTGACATGTACTTCTCCTTCATGGGGGTCTGCCCCTTCAAGTCCATCCTCAGTTTGTATCTGCAGCGGAGGCTTCGATAGGTTTCTAAGCTTTTACTTAAGATTTTAAAATGTAAACATTTTGAGGTATGACTGGCCCCAAATTGTGGTCATTTGTGTAAGCATGCAGAATATTTCCCCCTACACAGTGAAAGTGGAAATATAAAATAAGAAATAATAATAAAGTACATGAATTGTCCCTTGGTACAGTTCTTGAGTTAGTCAGTCTACTTTGTTAACTTCCACCATAAATAAATGTCCAATGAATTCCAAATCAGTGTCATTTTGGTTCTTTCCTAAAATGTTCTCCCCATTTATTGGCATTTCTTAATATCTCTCCTTCCTTTCACCTACTGGGTAGTATGGTATGTTTTTTGTATCAATATGTTATATCTGTGGATTTTAATGTGTATTATTGTCTGTGTGTTGCAGTGCTCCTATCCTGTGTGGGAGGACTTCAGCGCCAAGGCCACCAAGCTGCATTCCCAGCTCCGGTAGGTTTCTTTGAAAACATAACAAATAAATCATTGTTTTGATATGCAACACTGTCATCGTACATGGAGTATGTATTGTGTTCTGTACTGATTCCAAGTTTCCTTTACATTTATCTAAAGTAATCAGTGTCTTCTGTTACTATAGAACCACGGTTCTGGCTGCTGTAGCCTTCCTGGATGCCTTTCAGAAGGTGGCAGACATGGCTACCAACACCAGAGGTAGGACACCAGCAGTGTGTAGGCTCATCTCAATTGAATATTTCACCTCCTCCTTTCCCTCACTCGCGTCCCTTCCTTGCGTCTTAGCTCCGCCTCCGTAAGACGCGAGCGAGAGACACGAGGAAGAGACGCGAGGACAGAGGAGTCCTCAGGTATTCATTGGGATGTCCTCGTTCACTCCAGCGTCTCCATAAACAACGCCCTTTACTTCTGGTGCGCGCAGTGCATCACCTTTCACTGGACTCGCTCCACATCAATCCCTTCAAACCTGGGATTTAGTTTCTCATTGAAATGATTTCGTCCATCTCTTCCATTCAGCTCTTTTATTATAGTTTTCTATGTATTAGTTTCGGTCCTGTATTGGTTTTTCCAGCTATAACATTTCATTTAAGTTATAATTGTAATCATAACAATAATAACAATTGATGGATTAATTTCCTCATGGTATTTGAGCTTGTTTCAGATCAACTTTTGTATTGGATGTTGTTATTTAATTTCTCCTACAGAAGAGAGACACAAATCACTAACATATGTATTAGTTATGCTTCCCCTATTTGTATATATCCTAAATGTTTGACGTTCTGTGGGTCTACCACACATGCATCACAAACCACAAGTAAGAACTGTACGTTATTATTTTATAATCAAAACATTATTATTGAATTTGTAAGTATATTTCACACACTTTAATGTTTTTATAGAGTTCGATCTCCTCATTCGTTTAAGAGATGTCATATATTTTACTCTTAATGAAGCACTTTAAACATGGAATGACTCTGATCCTCCTTTAACGGTAAGATCAGCTGCAGTGAGCAGAGGCTGTGAAGGTGGGGGCGGGGCTTTTATACGCCAGTAGTGAAAACACTTCCGCGTAGTCTGCTCTCGTGTATCCTCGCTCTCATCTCCTCTGGAAGCCTCTTCCCCCCCTCCCCCCCCCCCTCCTCGACTCCTCCGTGTGCATTTAAGAGATTGGGACGTCCTTCAACATGGCGTGTCTTGATCGATTTCCGGGTCAAGTCCCGGAGGAGGGGGAGAGAGGAGTCGAGGAGGGACATTGAGATGAACCTTCTGTGTGCGTGCTTGTGTGTGTGTGTGTGTGTGTGTGTGTGTGTGTGTTTGTGTGTGTGTGTGTGTGTGTGTGTGTGTGTGCCCAACAAACTAGGATTTGTGTTCATCAGTATGTGCCTTTACCAATGCTGTGTTGTGTTTTGCTCTTCTGAAGCGCCCTCCACATGGCAACACTATTAGGAATATCATTATGTTGTTGAGATATTATCAACCAGTAACTGATGAAAGTGTTTCCAAGAGCCTCAAGGTACACTTTGTACCAAACCTCAAAGCATTGCACTGCATTGTTTACTGTGACGATAAATGGCGAGAGTATCTCGGAGAGGTCAATAATAGCTATTTGTGTAGCGGGACTTTTTTTAAGTCTTCCCATGGCAATAGAACAACCAGTGTTCTATTGCAGTGTGTTATACATGACATGGTTTTTAGAGGATATTTTTGGGTAAAAGTTTGTTGACAGTTTATGCCTTGCTGTCATATATCTAAATGTTACTATGTGTGAAGCAAACAAATCAGGGTGTGTTAGTGTATTAAAAGGGAATGCCTCAAAAAACAATGTTTTATGCTCCTAATTAAGCGTTATTACACTGTACCGTTGCTAAATGCTAACATTTCTTCAGTCTCGGTTAGCGTTATAATTGCTCCTAGCTTCTTGTTCTCACTGTAATTTCATCAGTCATGTCTAGCTATAGCTAGCCAGTCGGGCCTCGTGCGTGGTAAAAGAGATTTGAAATTACACAAATGCAGCATATAATTGTTCTACTTTTCTTTTTAATCAGTTCTTACTCCCAGCTTGACCATTAGCATGTGTATGAGATACATCAAGGCAAGGCAAGTTTATTTATATAGCACTTTTCAGCACGCGACAATTCAAAGTGCTTTACAAAACAAATTAAAAGACTTTTTAGGAATAAATACAGTAAAAACACATTATATAATGGCATTATACAACAGGCATTAAAAAGCAAAGATAATAAAATAAACACCACAGGTATACAATATATGTTTAAATGGCATACTGTAGTGCGAATATGAGCAGCTCAATTAAAAGAAGCGGCAAAGAGATATGTTTTCAGTCTCGATTTAAAAATAGTAAGAGTTTCTGCAGACGTGCATGATTTGGGTAGTTTGTTCCAGATTGTCGGGGCATAAAAGCTCAGACTTTCTACTGATTACAATGATTAAACTCATTATAAGAATGGTCAGAGCAACTGACGGTAGAGTGAGAAACATAGTTTAGGGTCAAACAAGCACAAAGGACCCTCCTGTTAGAACCTTTTGTGAAGCCAAAACTCAACGCTGACTTACTTTATCTTTGTCACATAACTCCCGTACCCAACTAACACCGGATACGTAGCAAGCGCACTTATTTCACGGAACAAAATACCTCTTTTTTGCATCGTACAAGCAAAAACATGCGACATGTTCCATACTCCTTGATCATCATATTTAGAAGTGTATGGTTTATGACCAATCGTCTGTATTCTGTATAAGGGAGAATGTTGGGTTTTTAAGCAAGTTTCTCCATTTCTGAATAAACAAAATAAAGCTACCATGACAGTGTGTTATTTTCAATAGAAAGCTCCACACTGTGTTTTATCCCCTGTGCTACGCTCCAAAAACTCAATGAACTTTATAGAACTACGGTCAATGGATTGTATATTAGGTGTTTGGCTTGACACTCTTGAGATTCCCTGCGTAGGCTAAAAGCTGGACGCTAGTTTTATCAGAGTGTGGGCTGAGAGCTAAGCGGGTCAGAAAAACACATGCCGCCCACTGAAGGACAACTGAATACTATAGTACCACAGAGGAAGAGAGGGAAACCAGGAAGACAACTGTGGCTGGAACACAGGGGATTCCTCCTCCTGTTGTGACTTATTAGATGCAGCTGCCAGACAGTGTGTGTGATGCTGGTGTGTGTGTGTGCAGCCCCAGGTGGGATTCTACAGAGAGGATACAGGAAGAGGCTCGTGCTGCTTTTACAGGCCAGACAGGAAATCACCAAGCTCCGTCAGCTCATTACACATGCCACACGCACACAGAGAGGCAAAAATATAACATAAATGAAGTTGGCACAAAGATGCCGTCTGTGCATCAGAGGCTCTTTGTACTTTCTGTACTGATGAGTCATTCCTGCTGGAGTCCATTTGTCAGATTGCCTTACAAACGCTGCTCTTTCTCAGTGTGGGATGTTCTCTAATAGATTTGTTGAATGGATGGAGGCAGAAGACGGAAACAATAATGATGCTGTCTGTCTTCCTGACATTCGTTGCATCAATGTTCCACTTATTACTATGTGTGTGTGTGTGTGTGTGTGTGTGTGTGTGTGTGTGTGTGTGTGTGTGTGTGTGTGTGTGTGTGTGTGTTCAATGTGCCCAAAATGGTACTGATGATCCTGTGCTCTGCTCTTGTACCGACTATTAATGAGTCTGTCGGCTGTGTTTCCTTTCAGCGTGAGTTTTATGTGAGTTGTTTATATCAGCTGCCTTGATCAAAAATGGTACTTGATTATATATAAGGAATATTTTCTGTCAATAATTGTATCTTGAATTTGATAGAATAAAGGCACTGCATTATAATATTAAAGACGACATATTTTTGCTCATTTTCATGTTCATATCAGTATGTAGTGTCTCTCCTGTGACATGTCTCCATGCTTTAAGGTTAAAAAAGCTCTTTATTTTTCTCATACTGCCTGTGCTGAAGCACCTCTTTTCACCCTCTGTCTGAAACCAGAGCCCAGTCTGCTCTGATTGGTTAGCTGGCCGGCTCTGTTGGGATTAGTCAACCGCTAAGAGATCCCTTAGCCTATCACGTGTCACTATGTATTGAAGCGCTAGCCAATAGAAGCAGGAGTGTTACATAGTGATGTAATTGAGTTATATAAGTAAAAAAAGGAGTCCACTGAAGGTGTTTCAGCCATCTCTGGAGGGAACACAGAGATGTAAGCCTTTGCAGACCATTTACATGCACAAATACCTATATAACACACAGGGAATGGAAAACCCCAAAGAGCATAATAGGGCCCCTTTAGCATCGATATGAATCACATAAAGTATATGGGGATAATATGTATTTGAGAAGTGGTACATGCCATATTTTGGATTGTTTTAAAATAAATAAATCAACTGTTCAGTAGTTTTTGGGAGAGGAAAATGTTGGTTGGTCCTCCACTTTGATCCAGGCTGAAATATTGGATACATTGCCATGACATTTTCTACAAAAAAAGATGGTCCCAGAGTACGATTATACTCCTTTCGGTGATCCCCCACGATACTGTGACACCGTCATGAAGTTGCATTTTAGATTTGAAGTAAACTAATCAACAATTTTTGAACGTGTTAATGTTAATTGTTTGTGTTTAAGTGGTAGCATATACATGGAACAAAGCTGTATACTGCATCACACACTGTATAAGATGGCCAATGGGAATAACAAAAAAAAGTAGTATTTTAAAGGTTGAGGTCATTTGAAGCTAATGCACCAGCGCTTACAATGGTTTGGCTCATTTGAAGCTAATGTTGCACATTTTCTTGCCGAGTTTGTATCTTCATGGTCTATTGCAGTTATTGTAAACTTCTTGGGATTAAAGTGCCAGCTGAATTTATTCAGTCGTCGTCACGAGCTGATAAAGTTTTAAAAAAGACAACATGAAGGGTGAGAGAAAATGTGTTTTAGTGTGTGTGACGGTCATGGTGTGTGTGAGAGAGAGGTCTAGTGAAATCCAGTAGGATAAACATGTGCAAGTGTTGCTGAATTCCCTGGTGAGTGGTGAATTTGAGTGCACTTTCAGAAGTGTTCTCTTCTTCACTCTTATAGCCCAAATATTCACCTTCCCCAGTGCCAACACAGTGTGTTTGTGTGTGTGTGTGTGTGTGTGTGTGTGTGTGTGTGTGTGTGTGTGTGTGTGTGTGTGTTTGTGTGTGTGTGTT